CAACGCGTCCTGATGATACTGCAGAGCCAGTACTCGTTTGCATATTATAGCAGGCGTCGATGCGCAAGCACTTGCAATTAAAACACGGAATATTCATAATTTAATTCGTACAACGTATCTTTCAGTAGAAAAAGATGAGGGTGGCAACGAAAGAAGCTGTCGCGTAATTTAATTGGCCTTTTTTTCTTCCTTTGGCTGTGCGTCAATTAATTACTCTCGTTAGATTTCCTTTTTTATTCGTCGACTGTTGCTGCTCGTTAAGTCATCGTACGTCTCTCTTTGTTACAGCATCGCTCTGCGACGTGGTCTACAACAGCGATTCAACAAAAACGGGCGTAGTTATGTCTCCTGGATACCCGAACCCTTATCCACCTAGGACACACTGTACATACGACTTCCAAGGAAGAGGAAAGGAACGGGTGCAGGTGGTATTCCAGGACTTGAATCTATTTCATTCGCCAAACAATCCAAATGAGTAAGATCATTATATTGTAATTATAATCTTTATTTTTTAATATAATACAATATGATAGAATAATAGAAATCTAGTATTAAAATGTGATTTCATTATCAAATTTTTATTGTACGCGGATATATCTCTTGGAAAATTCCATCTATTTTTGTGAAAGACTACAGTAGTCGCGCGATCAATTTGAATGTCGTGCCGGATCTGTCCAGTGCTCCGTTTTGACGAATACACTCAACATCATTGTGTTTGGTAATAGCGCAACTCTTACGATACATATCATTATAGGGTCTAGCACCCTCGATCCATTCTTATGACACAAAAGGCATATGTTACCAAGTGCAACATGTATTTCCATCATAACAGACACTGCTCACTCTACCTTTAAACTATGTCTATTCCGCATCGAAGTACGATAAGTGCAATTTCAAAGTTTTATATAAAATTTTTTATGTAAGCTAGCCTAAGCATAAAGTTGGTACTTTTATTATTCTTGCATTATACGTCAATGTTTTGTGCCTTTTATTTTCGAAAATTATGTGACGTCGAACATGTGGAGAAATTACATTTTCAATTCAACAAATGCGCGGTAAAATTGTTGTCTCGAAATTTTCTGGCACGTTTACGCACATCGCGTTTTTCTCCTTTCCAGGTCAATACCCATTTGCCTAAATTCGCCTACATTCGTATACGTAAAACTGCATCGTCACTTTACCGGTGCAGGAAATTTTATTTGAATTCGACAAAAGATTTTTATCCTTAAGAATCTGACCAAGCTTCCGGGGATATCATGTTTCACAGCGAAGATCGACCGAGAACGTTTCTTCCTTTAGTGCAGAGATTGAAAGGAGAAACTCGGTGTCATGACTGAAGAGAGACAGATCAGCATAGGACATTCCGGATAACCGCTGCGATACAATGGTTCCCCGACAATTGTGTTCATCGTGATCACTTATTCTCTCATTCATTTTCCGAGTGGTTGATCTTAAGCAAGATTTAATTAGGGTTTGCATATACCATTTAAAGCATATACTATTTAACTGACGTTTAAATGGTACTTTTTCTGCTCCTCACACATACGCACACGCGCGCGCGCGCGCGCGCGCACACACACACACACACACACACACACACACACATATATATATGTAATTATCTGCGTGCACTTTACAGCGATCACAAGAGATTTTTCATTTATGAAAAATTCTTTATTTTTACCTTGTAATTGCAATGAAACAAACTCCGGAAGCTACGATTAATATTACACATATTACAATAATATTATACATATGAATAACATTATGATTATAATATCGCTTTTAACGGCGACAAAATAGCACAACGATAGAATTCTAAACAAGTGTTATAATACATATTATACATGTTATTATTAATATAATTATTATTAGTATGATTAAAATTACATGATATACACGAGCAGATTTAAAGGAAAAATAATATTATGTATCACACTTAATGTTGCTTGACGTGAAAATATATCATGTTAGAGTAATGCAAGCGTCACACCGCATCGCGTTATTCTATCCTGTAAGATATAAAAACAGATGGTAAGATATCTACTTGCTCTAATGCATATGGAGAATGCGAGAATGCATTCAAATGCTAAAGGGATTTCTTCTGAATAGAACACGTCGGAGAGCAGCCGTGTGTCGTCATCTGATTTTCCTGATTTCCAGTTTCCGTCCAATCATCCGAGCAGATTGGTCGAAATTTTCCTTCGAGCATATGGTCGTACATTCATGCAGTAATGCCAGCTCGTTCATGTACGAAATTACCGCACATGATCATACATATAGCCATAGGCCTGGCTGCGCGCTCGCAAATAATATTCTTTATTGTGTGTTGTATAATGTTGCCTCTCTACTTGCTATATCTTGCGAATTATAAATTGGCTGGTTAAAAGCCATCCATTGTGAATTGTGCCCGCGGGACGATTGCGTAATGATACAGTAAACCACGGCACGTTAAGTTCAAATAGGAGGCGTATAATAGGAATGCTCAAACGCTAAACGCAGCAGGGAAACGAGGTTACTTTTATACGAAAATGAGTTTAACATGAGTGTTCCTTCCTTTAAAGCTTGCCATATTATCCTGTACAAAAAAAAAAAAAAAAAAAAAAAAAATAAACAAAACTATGGGCTGCTTCTTTAATAATTATCAAAATATGTAATTATATACTTGACGTGAACCGCAAAGGCCGAAAATTTAAAATATATTATAACATATTTTCAGAGCTTTTTTCTTTGCTTGAAATGCATCCTCGTCGAGAATATACTTTCCGATATTGCATCTTGTGCTTGCTATTATCAGATTTATCATTGGATCAAATAAAAATACCTATAACGTATGTAATGTACGCAACGTTCTACGTTTTTAACGCGTCATGTTTCAAAATAAGTTTAAATATATTTCCAAGAGAAAGAGCGATCAATAGCACAACTTATACGTGTTTCGCTGCATAGTAGCCTTTGTCCACGTGATTTTCATTACTTTTCAAGGACCTTTCGCGAGATAGCACTTGTAGCATATTTGTTGATAAATGCAATGCAGACTCCAACGTAACCAATTCAAATATTTGGTATGTGGTCCAGCAGTCGCAAATACATAAAAATATTTGATCATATTGCATTTCTATCTTTGAACATTTTTTATATAATATAATACCACTTCATACTTTCGGCACACAAATACTTGCAATGATTGCAAGCTTTTTATCTTGAACATGAGATGCCCTATGATTTTAATGAGCGATAAAATATCGTATTATGTATACGTAACGAAAGCGATTATCGTTGATTGTAATTCTTCGGCATTTCAAATTCAACAAGCGGATCGCAACGGATAATTTTCGCGATAGACGCGGCAGCTTCTCGAAATGTGTGTTTTCGAAATGAAAGTCCAGACTCGAGGAATGTCAACTCGGTGTCGAGTTATCGTTCAAAGTTCGCTAGCGGTGTCGTAAGCACGGAATATAAAATTGGACAAACGCGCGCAACGTGTTATAGTACACGCTCTGGTGCGCGTACCGGGACAAATATATCTTGATTCTTGTTCCTTGTGTTCTAACGGAACGTGAAATCAGAAGCGAATGGAAATACGAGTCCCGCCGGTGTGGCGGAGCGTCTTTTGTCGCGGAAATGAAAAGTTTTTCCTATCGAATATCGTTTTGTGACGCGTAACGAAGGCTGCAACATCGAAACAACAACGCTGACGTGACTGCTCAATGTTGCGGGACAGTTAACATTCGACAATTTTCTAAACTAAATATTAACGTCGCGTGAAAGTGTCACAAAACTCGAAAGTTACAATTTTGCAGCCCCAAAAATCATTCAATAATATAAAATCTTATTTTACACGCAGATATTTTTTTTTTTCCTTTAAAATCTTAAATTTCTATAGATTCTATTTCCGCGTAATTTCGTCTCTTTACTTTTTCATTATTACGGAATATTACATGATAAACTGATCGTCAAGGGACGAGATACTTTATCTGCAATTATTGTAATTATTGAAATTATATGGAAATTGTCGGTTTTCCGCAATAATTATCACGCACGAAAGTATCAAATTTTAGTTGTTGCACTCAGCCGCAGGTATGCACTCGAAATGAATAAAATAATTAATTTTGAAAATGATGCGTATATAAATGTATAAAATGACACGGGAAAAATATAATATTACAAATATATTATTTTTTGTTTCAGCTGCGAGGGAGTCGATTCACTGGTTGCATTCGTGCATATAGATGGAAAAAAGGACAAAATAGATTCATTCTGTGGAGAAACACCGCCGCGTCCCATCATGAGCAACGGTCCGCGGCTCTCTTTGGAGTTTCAAGGAGTAACGTCATCCCGCCATTCGAGAGGCTTTAAAGCGACGTACACTTTCATGGAAAGTGAGTTCAAATTTTGCATGTCTGCGATATGAAATAATACGATCGAGTAAGGAAAAGCTGTATTTCCTCGCGATAATTCAAAGTGAATCTTCCGAGAGTAGAAATCTCTCCGTCCGTGCGAGAAAACGCGTAGATTTACACGTATATTGTCTTACCGTAAATCGATCGGAAATGTTCCTGGCCTAGATGGACGACGGGCATCATCGGGAATAACTTATCGACGTGGAACGTGTTCGCGGCGCGAGATCAGGCTATGACGTACGATCTTATATATTCGTGAACGAAGCCGTATTCCGAGAGCTTTTCTCCTATAGGCACCTCCCATGTCCCGTCAAAATTTCAATTTCCGCCGTGCATTCTATCGCGATGGCAATGCGTCTCGCCACGTTTCGCCGTTTATCACCCGCAGGTGAGCTTGGAGTTGTAGCGCACACGCGTAGCTGGCCGGGGGCATCCCGGTTCCAGCGGAACAAATGGATCGTAAAGTGTGTTCATCTTACCGAGAACCGAGCGTTCGGGGATATCGTAACGCGAGAAAGTCAAGGGGCGCGTCACGAAGCTGCTCCGGCGAGAGTTGGAGAACGCGCCGCGCAGCACGGTAGACGGATGGACGGACGGACGGTAGACGATAGGGAGGATAGGGAGGAAGGGCTGGACGGACGGTAGACGAGGATGGAGAAACGGAGGCGGACAATCTGTCTCAAATATCAAGCAGGCGGTGGGGGAGAACTTTGTCGTACCGTTAAAGGATGAATATCGCTCGATTATGCCGAGTATTTTATCGTCCTTTGGTTACCATCGAGCAGAGAGTCGAAAGTTCGCGCGCTATCGCATAATTGAAACGCGGCAAAATGAATCCTGACCTATTTTGCAACGGTGGAAAGAGATACGGCGGCAAAGTTTCGGCAAAGTCGCTCCGTATTATGAATGTTAACGGCAAGTTTGAGCTTAATTTTTACGAGCGGGACGTACCCCTTCCCGCGCGGCTTCTTCCCCCTCCTGCAAACGACCCCGCGCCCACCACTCCTTCCGCCTTTGAAACTTCGCGGCAGAATTATCGCGCTAAGGGATGCGGGTACGTTCTTCGAGGCCCCCACATAAAATAGACTTCGGAGGATCCTCGAGAAAGACGGGATCGCTCTCGCAAATCGAAGTAGGCATTCGGCAATCGAACTGGAACGGACACTGAGAAGAGATTCGCAGTCGCGTTTCCGCCTTTCTCGCAGAAAAGCAGCAGACGCGGGTCTCACTCCTGAACTGTCACAAGCACAACGATGTTCTCGACGACGAATCGATATGACGCGCTTTAGAAAGGATCCGCCCGTCTCGCGGGAATAACATTCTACGCGCTGACTAGGACATTTCCTTGGGGGAAGGCTAATGTCATCTCGGACTGATATGTGCGTGTCAACTGAGTCACGCGATACATTCTCCCCCTGGGCGGCGTTTGTATGTATATGTATATCTCTGCTCACGCTTGAAATTATCCCTAATAATTATGACATCGTTATCGAGAGAGAGAGAGAGAGAGAGAGAGAGAGACAAGCCAGCAGACAAATTTCTCGCTCTTCGTCGTTATAATCGACGTCACGACGACAATGGCAGACGGATAATCGCGAATTACGCCGTAACGACAAACACGCCGTTGCAAACGCGAAGGACGCGAGATTTATGACGTCTACTCGGTGTAACCCGCCCTTCTTGCAATTAGTCCCGTCTTCCGCGCCACGGTGGTAAATTAGACCCTCCCCTCCCCCCTCCCCTCTCGGTCTAAAAAGCGAATCCCGTTTCCCGTTTGGTGCGAGCGCTCCGCGCGATAACGTGAAAATCTATTTTCCTCGCCGTCTTCGACTGTACCGTATTTCCTTGCACCGACAAGACACACCACTGCCGTTTGGACGATGTCACGTCAAACCATCGACGTCTCACGCGGAAACTTATCGCCACGTCGATTCGCAGTCGTTTAGTCACGAGACGACGCGCGCCAAAGGACATCGACCGGAAGTTTCGGAATTCGGTCGAACGGGAGGCCAAATATCGTCGACAGCAGCGATGGCAGCGTTGGCAGTTAGCTCACGACATATTCCCCGTGACGTGGCTGGCGGGAGAACTCGACTCGTCGCGGGCGAGACCGTGACGAATTTACGAATCCATCGTCGACGCGCGGCGAAGAAGTAGGGCATCGCTTTTGGAAAACAACGTCGTCGTCGTCGTCGTCGTCGTCGGCGTCGGCGTCGTCGCGCTTCGACATTCAAGCGCACATATACACGTCTCGTGTTTATCGTCTGACAGTTCGCACATATAGCGCGCGTGCTGCACCAGTATCAAACGTATGAAACTTACGGCCGTATTAGCAGCCACGCTTTAATGTAACCTGGCGTATATTCCGCTTTCGAAACTTTGCCGGAGTTTCGACGCAATATTTCCGACGAACTCGGCAAAGTTGATACGGGCGCGTCGTACGTCGTATTGTTGCGTCAAGTCATACAGCGGAAAACGCGGAGCGCGGTGGCGCAACTCGCCAACTTCGGTCATCCATTAGCCGCTTAACTTTTTAAAGCGAAGCTAAACCTACATCGGTGATACCTACATAGTTAGTATTGACTACTAAGATACTCAATGTACAAGCGGCTTCGCAGAGGTTTCGCAACGCGAGAGAGCCACAAAGTTTTAACTTGATGCGCGCACGAAACGTGCGGGAAGTAACGAAAAAGCCTGAAAAAGAAACGAGACGTTTCCACGGACGACGCTTTAAATACCGCCCACCCTTGGAACAGGACGATTTTGCATTTCGCGAGAATTATTCCGCGCGAATAGTAGAACGAGGTGCCGGAATCGTTATCGTTGATTACAATTGCAAAGTTGGGAGGAGTCCGGTCGAGGCAGGGCCAGGAAGGAAGGAAGGAAGGAAGGAAACGACGAAGGGAGCCCGGCTCGGCGGCCGAACGCTCTCTCGGATACGCGCGCGCGATGCCGAACTGCGCGACGGCGGCGAATCTTTTGTGATGTAGATCACAGGACGATTTTAACGACAGTTATACCCCCCCTCGAAAGTGTGATAAACAGTCTGCATCCACGTAGGTGCATACAACGACTCGAGGCGGCGGACCTCGTGCCCGCCCACGGCCGACTTCGGGACAGAGCGTCGCGATCTGGCGCAACATAAATTGCCAGCTCGTATATACTTGAACATTCTTCCACGACCGGGTATTATAAAAGTTCTCGCGAAACTTTATCAATTTTACGGATACGCCACGTGTACTGGAAGGAAGAAAGAAAATGAACGCTCGTTTGCCGTGCCCCTCTCTCTCTCTCTCTC